GCCCAGCATCACTCAATAACTGTGTGGCAGGGTCAGAGGTGGATGCCAAATCTGCAGGGAAGAATATGATTAACTTAATCATGATACTATCTTTCTCATCCTTCCATCCCCTGCCTCATTCACTACACACCTTCCACCTTCTCCAACAATAAAGCACACATCCGACAGCCAACAATCTCTTTCACTACTGTTCCACGATTCATTCCCGAAACAGGGCCATGCTGTACTCTGAATGAGGGGTCCTGTGGAAAAATTGGTATGTGATCATGTAATTAAAGATTATCTCATGTATATGCACAACTGGACAGAATTAAGCTCCATGGACTGGTGAAGAGCAGAAGTGGAACCATAGTCCTGACATCTTCCTGACCCTTCTGGGATGGTTTGCATCCTAGGGGTTGTTACCTACTCTGTCCATCCGTGATCTCATCCTTAAGCATCCATCATGCAAAAGCAAACCACAGTATTGCCCTCTCTATTCAGGGGTGGTGTGTGTGTGTGTAACTGAAAATTAGGGTCTACGGTATGAAAAATAAGAGGACAGGAGACATACCAAAAGGGAATGCACCTTTGTCCTCCATTCAATCGATAGAATAGCAAAGCATGCAGACTACTACACAGGACACAAGGATACAATGTCCGATATATTGGGTACAATCTCTGATAACTGGTGCCTGAGCTGTCACGTGCTAATGTTAAGCAGACGCTGTCACATACTGTACTGGACAAGTGTGGTGAATAATAGCAATGAATAATACTTCGCACTGTCATCTGAGAATTTCAAAATTTCAAATTGCATTACAAACATTTAGTTATTAAGCCGCACTACACCCCGGGAGGTAGATAAGTAGTATTTTACCTTGTGGCAGATAGTTAGCTTTGGAACAGGACTTGTAAGATAGTGTTACATTTCTATACATCTACTTATAACAGTTTATATATTCTCCATGGCGCAAATCTTGACCTTGACTCTGCAGGTGTGGAGAATCCCTTGGCAATGTAGTTGTCATGCACAAGGGGAGGAGCAACATTTCAGAAGGAATATGCCCTTGAATGGTGCAGAGTCCAGCTCTATGGGGGTGCTGAGGGCACATGAAGGTTGCGACCACTCGGTGGCTTTGGGGAAAGATTCCTTTCTCCCTTTCCCTTGCAGATCTCCCCAGTACCCAGCCAAGATTCTTGGAGTGGGTGCTGGGGTTTTCCCCAGTATTGATAAACTGTATTGGGCCTACTAAATCCCAAAGATGGAAAGTGGGCCAGAACAACTGCCAAGGTTTGGAAGCAGTAGCAGCTCTAATCTTAGCAGGTGTCAGAGATGGGAGGTGGATTCATCCTGGCCTAATGTGAGCCTGCTGACCTTAGATTCCCTGGTGACTGATGAAGCACTCTTACAAATCGTAGGGTTGCCAGGTGTCTGGTTTTCAACAGGAACACCTGGTTGAAAAGAGACCCTCCCCAGCCTGGTGAAAATGAGTGAGTGAGTGAGGGTCGGGGACAGCGAGCGATGGAGGGAGGGGGGTGGAGTGAGTGGGGTGGGGCCTCAGAGAAGGGGCAGAGCCAAGGTGTTTGATTTTGTGTGATTAGAAAGTAGGCAACCCCAACATGTGCTACCTAAGGTAACACAGAGTCACTGGCACTCCCATTTCCAGTCTCTGCTCTCACCATTAGGCATGCTCCATTCCATATTACTCCCTCACAAGCATCTCTTGATAAAAAAAACAAACTGATGAACTCTTGGGCTCCCTGGCCCTGTCTCTTGGCTTCCTCATCTTAGTTGGGTGCTCTGCTCTGTTGTTGGAGCTCCATTGAAACTCTGCTGGGCATCTATGATGCTTTCCTGATTTTCTCTGTGATGCTGCAACAGCTTTATCAGCTACAATATCAGCCGCTGGACACTCCCAGGTACTCTCCTGGAATTGTCTTCTGTGGTCTTGGCCTAGCCAGTTACATTTCCAGCTGCTCCTCAGTAATAACCTGGCATGGGACATAATGTGTCCTGGAAGTGCCAAATGTCTGGAAAAACAGTGTCTGCCATAATGACAGAGTGCTTATTTACTCACAAGAATATGTTCTGTAATTATTCTGTATAACTACTGTCATACAAATAAATGAAAATGGAACATAAGTTATCCATGCACAGTGTTTTTAGTCACTTCTAAAGCCTTTATATAGAATTTTCCATAACCAAACTATTTTAGTCTATTATGACGAAGGAAAATTGTATTCTCAGAGCAGAAAAGGCCATGACTTAGTTGCAGAGATGTGTAGTTGTAGAGATGGTTCTTGTGTCTAACAGCAGATGCCCAGATGATACCCATGTACGAGACGCTCTTTAATCTGATTTGCAAAAGTAACAGAAATGTAAGCTGGACATCAGGAAAAGTTTCCTAAAAGAGACACCTATTACTGTACATTGTTGAGCAGTCTCCTAAGAAAAGGATAGCAGCCCCTTTGCTTGAGACAATTTATTTAGAAGATATACGGTTAGGAACAATCATGCACTGTTGGGGTATGGGTATAATAGATAACATAGGAGGTCTTTCCTATATTTACTTCTTATTATTGCCTTGGAACGCTGGATTCAAACATGGTACTTCTCTTGTTGATAGATAAAAAAGTGCAGGTATCAAATTAACCACTAAACCTATGGTTTGTCTGTTAGCACCTGAATTGTCCTGAGGGCACTCAGAATGTCTTTTAGTTTAATTTAGAAATATACCATTAAACTTTCTCAGACTTGACATCAGCAAAATTTAGGCTCCAATTAGATTTCCACACATGTATGATTAGTACGGAAAAGTAAGTGGTTTATTTAAATAATGTTCTGCACCATTTTCCCTTTCATGCTCTGTAAGGTCTGTGGAAAAGGATATGATGGGAAACCAGCTAGAAGTGGGGAGGAAAATCCTAATTTTAACAATTGTAACTTTCTAGAGCACAGCCACAAGAATAGAAGATGGCCTCAACTTGAAAGTGTACAGCCTTTCTTTTCTTTTCCAGAGTGCTCAGCTCTAATTAGGTGCCACACAGGCTAAAGGCCAAAGGAGAGCCAGATACTCCAATAAATGGCAGCATGGCAAAATGTTTCTGCCCATCTACAGAAATGAGGATCAAGTATCCTTAGAAGTATGAGAAAATTAAAGAGGAGTTAACAAAAAGCTGTCTCCAATCCATAGAAATCTATTTTTAAAGAAAAGCTGGTATGTTTTCATTTTAATTCCAGGAGTGTCATTATGGCTTAGATATGGAGTAGGAAATAGCAAATAATAAACTGGGAAGAAAACCCTATAAAGCAAAAAAAGCTATTTATTATGTGGAGGTGGCTGTATGATTTGTGTACTGTTTGGGTCAGGGCATGTGTGGAACTGAGATGCTCTACATACATATATGAAAAATGTGGGAAGAGTTTAGGGAGAGAACCCTGTGTGAATAACATACCTGGCCCTCCTCCAGAGGCCAATCTAGAAGTCTAGGAGATAAACTTCTGAATATAGCTGGGCAAATTTTTCATAATTGAAACCCAGATCGGGTTAGAGTAAAAATAAGTCAGTTTTCAAGTACCCTGTCCTAAGTTTTAGGTAGTGGAGCAGGGTTTTAGGCTTTTGGGATGTTTGGGGATAACTGGAGCATTTGTACTGCTTGGTAAATTTGTACTCTTCACCATTAGTTTAGTTGCTGTAAAGTATAGTTTAAAACTATAGAAAAGTGCATATGGAGTATGAAGTAGATGAGAAAGGGTAATTAACTTTGAAAGGTACACATTGGAGAACTAAGTTGTGCATTGAGTTATTGCAATAACCTTGTATTGCTAGAGATCTGGATTCAAGTTACCAGTGAGAATTAATTTGGTTATCTTAACCTTGATCCCATTTTTCACATTCCAAAGCCATAATGCATCTGATAATCTCTGTTTAAAAGATGACCAGGAGTGGAAAAGAAAGAGTTTTGCAGGTGAGCTCAATACTGAAGTACATTGGCAGAACAATATCAAGAAGCTATCACAAAGCCCGCTAGCACTGGTTACAATTCCACATAACCCTAAAAATAGGATTTCTAGTGCAGGGCCTCTGTGCAGGGATGAAATTCATCCCTAGATAGAACATACAGTTCTTAGTGAAGTTACAGGGAGTTCCAGATGCTCAAAAGCTGTCAGGATTCAGTTCTATCAAATTGTTCAGGGCAAGTAGCTGTTTAAAATATCTTGCACACTACTGATGTAAATTAGATGTCATGAACAGAGCTGGAGTTGTAATTCATCTAACCTTTTGCTGATAATTTAGAAAGTTGGGAACAAGATGGAAATTAAATGGACTAAATAAATATTGTTTTTTTCACCTTTTATTGTGGATGTATTTTTCTTATGATGAATCGGAATACCTGTGGGTACCATGAGTAATTATAATCATTTTGACTTCAAACTATGTTAACTTTGATTTATGGCTTCTAAAGCACTCTGCAATTTGAGCAACAATGGCATAGTTTTTTAAAATAGCTGTTTATGCAGAGTGTTATTATATTTCAGTATTTGTAACAGATCATCACAAAACTAACTAGCCAGACAATTATTAATTAATTCATTACAAGGAAACATTTATCATACGATTGACTATCTGGGCAATTAAGATTTAAATGAATTGTGATTCTTCATGAAAGTGATGTATTTTGTCTCTTTTGAAGAACATATGGATGGGATTCCACTTTGTGCTAGGTTTGCCAGCTCTGTCAGTCTTCTAAATACCAGTTACTTGCTTTGCAGAGACAATTTATAAAAGTTTGTTTTGCTGATTTCTGTTATATTCTTTTCCAGTGATAATCAATTAGACCTACCTGTGGGCCAATTTGAGAATTTTATGACAAGAGGTGGGCCATTTGCACAGAAGGCTGACAAAAAAAAAAAAACAAGAAAAACCCCTTCAGCTGCGAATAAATAAAGACCTTGATTGCAACATAAGTTTTAATGTTTCTATCTTTTAATAAAGTTTGTAAATCAACATTATTACCTGTGTTTGTGGCAATCTCTAATGGGAGAGGTGACGTTGACGATCTCTGGCAAGCTTTTTGAAGAGTGGTTTCTAGGAGGCCAGGGCAAGAGGCATGCACTGGTGAAGATGCTCACCTGTCAGACAATCGTGGTGTTGATTTTTTGTAACATTCATGGTAGAAGACCCAGATTCACAGAGGTACATTGATCTGATAGATGGCGTGATCCTGGCTATTCTAAAACCAGTCAGCATATTGAGTCTAGAAATCACAAAATCCCACCCCTCTGAATTTTGCCTGTAAAACATCTGAGCTCTGGAGCCTTACAATTTCTAATTGAAAGGTACCTTCATCAATTAAATCAAGAATATTCTTTGTTTTAGAAGGACAAGGTCCATCAGCAGAGACAACAAATGGATCATGAACAAATAAAAGCAAATTCTTTGGAAGTTTAAAATTCTCACATCACTTTTAAAAATTTTTGATCAGATTGTATAGGAATTCTTGCATCATTTTCTCTGAGTTTCATCTGAAGGAACAACACACAATGTGGGAAAGTGCAATATCTTTCCCATTAAGTCTGTCTGAAAGATTTCAAGATTCCTTTTCACACACTTTTTCAAACAGATCCCCGACACTGCCCAGCCTTGGAGCTGCAATTGAGGGAATTCAAGTGCCCAGTAATATCGCACAGAAAAGCTACCTGTAACATAAAGGGAACATCATTCATCAATTCCAGGAACTCACAAGCCTTGTTGGTCTTGGATTTGAAAGAAATGCTATTTCTTTTTGAAGCGTACAAAAATCTCTCTAACGTGCACCCCCTACTTAACCAACAAATAGTCCTTGTGCTGCAACAGGTCGCTGTATTCGGTTGAAATGTCTTGTAAAAGAGCTTTAAAAAGATGACCTTGTAAGCTAGAAGATAAACTTATATATTTCACTAATCTTCTCACAGTACCCACTGGTTGTTTTTTTCCCCCAAGTCCTCAGATGACATACCACACAGGACAGTCTGGTGAATGATGCAGTGAAGTGTTTTTAATGAAAAGTGTATCACTGCCAGACATGAAGCAAAGCCCACTCTTTCCCTGTCATGGATTGACCTCCATCTGTAACAAGCAAATTTACTTTCTACAGATCTAAACCAGTTTTTGCAAAAAAGCCTTTTACCTTTTCAAAAATGATCTCTCCTCTGGGGTAGGTTTCTAATGGTATTAAGCACAAACATTTTCCTTGAAAATTTCACAATCACAAAATCTAACAAACAGCAATAGCTGGGCAGTATTATGTAAATCACTTGATTTGTCCACTGCAAGAGACATGTATCTGGCATTTTTTTAAATCGGAAAGCAGTTCTGACAGATAATCCTCATAAATTACCTCCAATCTTCACACTGCTGTGGAATCAGACAGGAGAACTTGCTTCACGTGGTTCACAATGTCATCTTTGTTTTTATTTCCAGCGAAAAGGTTCTCCAGTATTTTCAATGTGCACTTCTTCACAAGCTCGGCATCCAGGAAAGGCTTTTTCTTTTTAGCTAGGACCAACATTATCCGAAGAGAAGCAGCTTTGCTTTTTTCTGTACAGTCACTGGTGTTGTGAGAATGACATTTGAAGTGTGATACGAAGACTTCAGATTTTCAATTTTGTCACGTCTTGCAACGCTGCCAGGAGGAGAGGCCGTGTTGAAGTTACCGTGCTAGGATTCAAAATGGTGCTTCATGTTGACGACCTTACAGATGGATACAGTAGTTTGGCATATTAAACAAAAAAGATTTTGCTTTTAAATGAGGTGGCATAATAAAAAAAAGAAAATCCACTGTCCTGTCTGTGTTAAAAACTTGGTTTTTGCTGTCAACTTTGGGATGTTTACTCCCACTCACATTCACTGATGAAAAATGCGTGGCATCCTAGCTCAATCATAGCTAATGCTATAGTGAAAACTTAAGATCTAGTAAGCAGTGCTTAATTTGTGCTGGGGCTTGCCAGGGCTCAGCCCTGGCACCTCTAGGCTTGGCAGTTCATAGCCCTGACACCTCTGGGCTCCTGGCCAGCAGCTGCTACTGTCCAGCCACCCAGCTCTGAAGGCAGGCGCTGCCACCAGCAGCAGTGCAGGAGTAAGGGTGGTAATGCCACACCATGCCAGCCCTACTTCTGCACTGCTGCTGGCAGTGACGCTGCCTTCAGAGCTGTGTACTCGGCCCGCAGCTGCCACGCTCCAGCCACCCAGCCACTCCTGAGCCCTAGCATCTCTTACATTAAAATCAAGCACCACCAGTAAGTTACTTACTAAGGAAGTCATAGGCAAATGATAGCACATCGCTGTTTATATATTTAATTATAAACGTCTTTTAAGGTGAGCCGGTGGGCCACGCAGGAAGCCTTGGTGGGCCACATTAGGCCAGCGGGCTGCCTGTTGTATATCACGGTTGTATGCTATGCTGCCAATGCTCCTCGTCAAAGGCCAGACTAGGTCTTGGTGTCACACCTGTGCTCAGCCTTTATATAGTGGCAGGTGGTGAAAAGGTTGGAATTCTCCCACCAACGCTGGCTGAAATCCCCCCACAGCCTGTCTGTGAGTGGTACTGCCACCTCAGAACTAAAGCAGTGTCTATGGCTTGTTACTCAGACTCTAGATCCAGGAGAGGCTCAATGGATCCCTACAGCCACAGCCATAGCCATCCTCCCCAGGGTTTCCATAGACATGCTCAGAAGACTGCTGCATAGTTGCACATGTGACATGCTGCCCTCTGTGTAGTACCGCTGCATCCTGCCTCTCCTCATACAGAAGAACTTCAGTACTTTTGCTGCTGTGACATTGTGTCAGCCTCACACTGGCCCTGATAGGGTTAAAACCCAGCCTGGAGAGCTGCAAGGAAACAGCCAATTAGGGAGGTGGCTGCAGCCAATTAGGGTGGTGGTTGGACCAGCCAATCAGGGCCCAGCCAGCCCATATAAAAGGGAGCTGCAGGCCACAACACATCAGTCTGTGGCAGGAAGCCTAAAGGAGGAGACTGGCTTTCTAGGGGGCTGCAGAAACCAGCACTGCGAACAGGGCTGTTAGGACTTGCAGGCCTGAGGCCCTGGGAAGAGGGTGAAGGAGCCAGAGGCAGGAGCTGAAGGTGCTGGGGCTGTGGGGAAGTGGCCCAGGTGTTGTACCAATAAAATAAAAACCAGCAGGATCTTATTAAAGGGAAAAAGGCAAAATACCACATTTATTGTGAATACAGAAAGAATCATAGAAAGCAGTTAGTTCTAGTTATAACATTCCATTCAATCTCATATTTATTCACACATTCATTCATACACACACACACACACACACACACACACACACAGGTTCTGCAAGGTTGTTATCATAGTTACCAGCCTTAGAGTTGCTCATGCCAAGCCACTGGCCAGGTGGCCTGGACATGAGGAGGGAGCAGGGCCTTGTCAGATGCTCATCTGATGCTCCTGGAAGTTGGTTTGCAGAATCAGACCCCCCAAAGTTCTCACTTTTTAGAGTCTATTTTTATAGGAATTTCTTCCTATGCCAGTCTATGGGAATTGCTTCATCATGCTGTTGCTGAATCAATCAGCAGATAGCACATTCCTGACGGCTCCAAGATGTTATCTTGTTCTTTGGTTCTCCCATTCTTGAGGCTGTTGGGTGGATTCCAGTCTGCCCTCCGGGGGGTCCTCTGGTTATTTCCACTTGACGCCTTCTTCAGCCGATGGACACTGGATTCTTAGGCTGGCACCTCCCTGATCATTCAGTTATTATCCACACCAAGCATCCATCCACATACATCCTCTATCTCTATTTTAATCACAATTGTTAATACAACAAAAGGGTGGGGAGTCTCTGGGTGTTGTTTCTGTTGTTAGAGTATTGCTTTGAGTCTCTCTCTCTGTGAATTGCTTTGAGAACAGACTCTGTCTTAGAATGTACTAACACAATTAGCAGCTTGCAAGTTTCACACATAGAGGGAGAGAAACAGTACCAAAAACCAAGAGACTTCTTAATTAGTAATACCCTGGAATTTAAACTATGGGGAATCAAACTCATTTGTGATTTTAATACAGAACTTCTTTAATATGATCCAACACAGGAAATTGAGACAGACTGGTGGTGAGAGAAAGGATGGGCAGCAGCAAGCTGTTTACAGGGTCCCTGGGCTGAGACCCAGAGTAGTGGGCAGGTCTGCCCCCCACTTGCCGCTGAAGAAGCAGCCAGGCTATGGACTGCCAAGCTGCTGTGAGGAGTGGCTAGACTGTTGTGGAGGAGTCCCCTGGAAGGGGGGGAACCCGGATAGTGACATGGCTGAAGGTCTTGGCCATGAAGCAAAGGCAGTGCAACTGGAACTGCGATGGATCTGCAGGCAGAGACAAGGATGGGAGAGCCACTGCCACCAGAAGGCAGCTCTGCTGACCAGAGCTAATTCCTGAAACCAACAGCAGAAGGTGCCAGTGTGGTGAGTGACCCTGTGACAGCTGCCTTCAGGGCCTTTCAAAGCTTTTACTTGAGCTGGCAGATTTAGCCCAAATGGAAGAAGTGTGGCCTACTGCAAAGTTTTCCAAACTTTGGGTAGAGTGCCTTAGATGCTCAGAGGGAGCTTGCTGGTGGCATATTATGATTAGAAAATAGTCTCCTGTGCATGAGATAGTAAGCAGTCTAGATATGAACAGTATCAATTAACTGCTAAATGATCTTTATTGAATGAGCCTCAGAGTATTGAACTTCTCCTTCCAGTCCTGGGGGAATCCAGGAAAATAATATAAGTTAAATAGTTGGGGGGGCAAATCAGGCTCCCTCCTCTAGGGGGCTCTCTAGTAGAAGAACCTGTGCAATGATGGTGCACGGGGTCTGAAGGAGGTTATGAGGCTAGTGCACCCTCCTGGTTGGAGTAGATCCAGACCCTGAAGGAGCTTCCTAAATGGTCACACGTAGGGGATTTTCAGGCAGAGTAGGGGTTGACTGAAAGATAAATCCTCCAATTCTTTCCCTGCAAGGGTTGTGGAGGCTCTTACAGCCATTAGTTTGAAGTAGCCTTTGCAGGCTGGCTTTGTTCCCATGCTGTTATTACTGAGAAGGATTTCTTTCCTCACAGAGAGCCTAGGTAACTGAGGCTAGGTGCCTAAATACCTTTCAAAATCTAGCCCCTACTCTAATTCCTTGGCCTGGGCACCAAGGAGAAGATTTTGTCTTTAATTTGGAAATGGGGTGGTCTAGATAGGCATCAAAACATCATTGTGAATCTGTGACGAACTCCTATTGATTTCAATGAGTTAGGTGCTTGAATACCTTTGAATCCTATATGGGGGGGTTTAAACAGCACCTGTATTGGCTAACTCTTCTCAGGCCATATTTCTTTATTTATTAAAGGAAGCATGCAACTCATTAATTAGTGTAAAGTAAGACTGATTAATGTGACATTCCAGGGAGAGAACTTTGGATAACACTAAAATTAGTGATATTTAGTAACTTTATGCTCCTTATTAGACACTGACAAGGGTAGCAGAGACACATTTACCTCAACAAAACACTGCTATTTTGAAAATTGAAAGGTGGATAGGGAATTGGTTAAAGGGGAGACTACAACGGGTCCTACTGAAAGGTGAACTGTCAAGTTGGAGGGAGGTTACCAGTGGAGTTCCTCAAGGATCAGTTTTGGGACCAATCTTATTTAATCTTTTTATTACTGACCTGGGCACAAAAAGTGGGAGTGTGCTAATAAAGTTTGCAGACGATACAAAGCTGGGAGGTATTGCTAATTTAGAGAAGGACAGGGATACCCTACAGGAGGATCTGGATGACCTTGTAAACTGGAGTAATAGGAATAGGATGAAATTTAATAGTGAGAAGTGTAAGGTCATGCATTTAGGGATTAATAACAAGAATTTTAGTTATAAGCTAGGGACGTATCAACTAGAAGTAACGGAGGAGGAAAAGGACCTTGGAGTATTGGTTGATCATAGGATGACTATGAGCTGCCAATGTGATATGGCTGTGAAAAAAGCTAATGTCATCTTGGGATGCATCAGGAGAGGTATTTCCAGTAGGGATAAGGAGGTTTTAGTACCGTTATATAAGGCACTGGTGAGACCTCACCTGGAATACTGTGTGCAGTTCTGGTCTCCCATGTTTAAGAAGGATGAATTCAAACTGGAACAGGTACAGAGAAGGGCTACTGGGATGATCCGAGGAATGGAAAACTTGTCTTATGAAAGGAGACTCAGGGAGCTTGGCTTGTTTAGCCTAACTAAAAGAAGGTTGAGGGGAGATATGATTGCTCTCTATAAATATATCAGAGGGATAAATACCAGAGAGGGAGAGGAATTATTTAAACTCAGTACCAATGTGGACACAAGAACAAATGGATATAAACTGGCCACTAGGAAATTTAGATTAGAAATTAGACGAAGGTTTCTAACCATCAGAGGAGTGAAGTTTTGGAATAGCCTTCCGAGGGAAGTAGTGGGGACAAAAGATCTATCTTGCTTTAAGATTAAACTCGATAAGTTTATGGAGGAGATGGTATGATGGGATAACATGGTTTTGGTAATTAAATATTCATGGTAAATAGGCCCAATGGCCTGTGATGGGTTTTTAGATGGGGTAAGATCCAAGTTACCCGGGAAAGAATTTTCTGTAGTATCTGGCTGATGAATCTTGCCCATATGCTCAGGGTTTAGCTGATCGCCATATTTGGGGTCGGGAAGGAATTTTCCTCCAGGGCAGATTGGAAGGCCCTGGAGGTTTTTCGC